CCGGTTTAGTAAGAAAGGCAGCRCAAAATGAGAGCTGGGTGAGTAACCATCAAAGTAGAAATGTATCACAGAGCGTACAGCAGGAAAGCAAGTCAGCAGGCATGGTACCTTCAGTCTAAAAGACCACTTTTCAGTGACATAAGAGATTACAGAATCACATTTAGGTTGAAAAAGATCTTTAAAATCTAGTCTAACTGTTAACCCAGCACTGCCAAGCCCATCACTAACCAYGTCCCCAAGTGCCAGATCTACATGTCTTTTAAATCTCTCCGGAGATGGTGACTCAACCACTTCCCTGGGCAGCCTGTTCCAATGCCTGAACACTGTTCCAGTGAAGAAATTCTTCCTGATATCTAATCTAAATCTCCCCTGGTATGACTTGTTCCTTAGGAGAAGAGACTGACCCCCACCTGGCTGCTCCCTCCATTAGGGAGTTGTAGAGAGCAACGATGCCACCCCTGAGCCTCCTTTTCTCCAGGCTAACATCCCCAGCTCCCTCAGCTGCTCCGCATGGGACTTGTGCTCCAAACCCTTCCCCAGCTCAATTCCCTTCTCTGGACTCGCTCCAACCACTCAGTGTCTTTATTGTGATGAGGGGCCAGAACTGGACACAGGATTCGAGGTGTGCTCTCACCAGTGCTGAGTACAGGAGCACAACCTCTGCCCTGGCCCTGCTGGCCACACCATTGCTGGCACAGGCCAGGATGCCTCTTGTCCACCCGGGCACACTGCTGGCTCAGGCTCAGCCACGCCGGACACCGAGGAGCACCTGCAGCTGGCAGGGAGGTCGGGATGGTGCATCCACCTTCTTGGGTCCTCCTGAATCACACCTGCATTTACCATCCCCTTTTCCCTAAACCTTCACCTTTCTCACGGCAATAGAAGCCAGTTTGCAACACTTAAATTCATAGTGTGCACAGTAAGGAAATTAAAATAAATTAACCCCCCTAAGAAGACAGCCAAACCCCGCAGGAACACGCAATGTGAAAGCGGCGCACGCTGCTGTTCCAAGGCACCRTCTCCACGCAGGTCGGCGCTCATCCCGCACTCAGGACACAGCAGCTCCCCAGGGAAGCTCAGCCCCGGCTCSCACTCCCTCCCAGCATTTCCCTCACAGCCCCGGCCGAGCTCCCCAGGCGGTGCCCRCATCCCCGGGGGCACAGCGGGGCGGTCCCGCCGGGATGAGGAGCTTCCCGGGAATCGCCACTTCTGGAAAAACGGCCCCCAAAGCGGCAAGTGGAAAACAAAATCGGAAAAATAAAGAAACAGTAAATAAAGCCAAACCCTGTCCGCGACTTCGGGGAACCCTCCGGGACCCCCCAGCCCCGCCGCGCCTCACCCGCTCTGCCTCGCTCCTGCTGCGCTCCCCGGGATCCAGCCGGGATCCAGCCGGGATCCAGCCCCGCTCCACAGGCAGCGCCGGCACCGCCCGGGGCGGGGATCCCGCGGGGCCGCCCCGCTCCCGCTSCCGCWGCCGCTCCSSCSKKSCCSGGRAKYGGGGAGGAGGGATAACCCCCGGCACCCACTCCCGGCCTGTCTCCCAGCGGAGTTCTCCCTTTCCCCATAACCTTTGCCGCTCTCCGGGATGCACTTTGCGCTTGGGTGTCACTCTACGCTGTTTTACATTTTGTAGCAGCATGGAATCATGCAATGGTTTGGCCTGGAACCGGCCTGAAAGATCATCTAATTCCAATCCTCTGCCATGGGCAGGGACGCTTCCCACTAGACCAGGTTGCTGAAAGCCCATCCAGTCTGGCACTGAATGCTTCTAGGGATGGGGATGCCTGAAACACTTCCAGGGATTCCAGCTCCCTGAATGGAGACCAACACCATCATCACCTCTTTGAAATCCAGCCATTAAATGTAAACACAGCTGAATAACTTTCAAGSTGTTGGTTGGTTTTGGTTTTCCCCCTATCATTAATGCTGATTTCCTCACCAATTCACTCTTCCAACAAGATGGCGTGCATTTATCCAAAAAGAAATTCCCCTTTGCCAAGTTATAATGGACTTCTATGTGTCATTTCTCCCAGATGTATGTAAAGAATTTGCATAGACTGGTGTACTTTCTTTTCTGGTTACAGGTCAAAAACCAGTTTTCTTCCATCTCATTAAGGACTTTGCAGGAAAACCAGAAAGGAATTGTGATGGTTCAAACAAAGACTTAAATATTTTACAGACTTCCAATCAGTTTGCTCCAGTAAAGAGCTAAGATAAACTTACACTGTCTCTTAGTACTGAATTTTGTTTGGGTTTGTTTGGGTTTTTTCTCTAAAATATCACAATATATTAAATGGTTGAAGATCTAGACTTTTCATGAAACAGTGAAGAGATTTGTACTGAATATCACATTGTTTCTCCCTCCATCTCAGTGAATCTGGACAAGGAACAACATAGGCAAACCTGCTAAATACTGGTGTGCCAAGCACTCAGGTGCATTCACAGAAAGCCACAGACACATATATCCAAGTAAAAGAAAACCTAGGCTTAAAACCCAGCTAAAAATAGCAACAGGAAAGAGTTGACTTAAGAGCTTAAAGCTGTCAGTTGTTTAGTAGCCCTGCTCCTCCATCAGAAAATCCATTTGGAAATTACATCTCCTAAGTGCCACCTCTGAGCCTCTCCTCAGCACTGGTCACCTGGTGCTTTCCATCTGGACTCGTAGGCTGTGTTTAATGTGGCTCAGGAGCTGCACTGACAGAGATCCTGTCAGGATACAGCTCCCATGGCATCCACCTGAGGAGGCTTGAAGATAGCTGGAATCTATTTCAGAGCCATATCTCGTGTGTAGCTATCACATACTTCAGCTTCCTTTTCCAACTTTTTTCTTGCCTTGGCTGGGCCAGTGTTGGTGGCAGTGGATGGTTTAGTGGATTTTGCAGTTAAATCCAGGTGTACCTCTTTCTGCCCTCTCTTGACCTGTGTTAAGATCTTAGGATTTAATAGGTGAGTTCTTTGTGCAGGCAGGCTTGAAAGTTAATGTTTATCTGGCTGCTGACTCATCAGAGGAGAGAGACGAAACGTGCAGTACAAATGATGGAGATCAACCCCTGTGTCAGAGAGTCCTTCCCACTTCACTGCTCCCTGCTTTCCCCTCTGTGCTTTTATTGAGCACTTCAGTGCAATCTGGACAGTGACTTTGCCCCTCTATGTGTGGGAATAAGTCCTGGGACAATCAATTAATCAATCAATCAAAGATCACACACTCAAAACCTCTTGAGAGATTTTAAGCAGCACTGTCCATTGTGTCTTTTCTTCCTCCTACAGCTCTTTCTGGACTTCTTCCCTGAAGCTCTTCACAAAGAGCCCTCTAGGACCTTTTTCCATTTGCAGGYTTTGGCAGGACAACGCTGTCTCTCCTTGTGAGTGACATGGGACAGCCTCTACCTGCCTCTGTCCCCAGCCTTAGGTACACACACCTCGGTAAGGCTGAGSCAGGTGACACACAGCCCTCCTGCACTGTGGGACTGGCCTGTGTGTGCTGTTCCTGTTMGCTGAGTGTGGGTTAGGACAATCCTTGAGACAGGCAAGCAAGATCCAGGGCTGAGCTGGGATCAACAGCAGAAAGAGGAATAGCAGCCAACTGGAAGGCAGTTTCTTTTACAAACTGCCCAATTGGAAACATGGTGCTGCAAGGGTTTGGAAAGCTGCAGAAAACATCAGCTTTTCYAAAATATCTCARAKAAYYRTAGAATTAYAGAATGTTAAGGGCTGGAAGGGACCTTGAAGATCACCTAGTTTTACCYTCCCTGCCATGGACAGGGACACCTCCCACTAGACCAAGCTGCTCAAGGCTTTATCCAGCCTGGCTTTGAATGCTGCGGATAGGACACCCACAGCCTTTCTGAGTAACCTTTTCCAGTGCTTCATCATCCTCACAGGAAATAATTTCTTCCTAATGTCTAGACTAAATTCCCCCTCTTTCATTATGCTCCCATTCCCCCTTGTCCTATCACTACAGTTCCCAGTTCCTGATGAAGAGTCCCTCTCTGGCTTCCCTGTAGGCTCCGTTCATTTACTGGAAGGTTGCTTTGAGGTCTGGACACAATCTCCTCTTATCCAGGTTGAACAGCCCCCACTTGCTCAGCTTGTCTTCCTGGAGGTGCTCCAGGCCCCTTTACAACTTCATGGTCCTTCTCTGGACCTGTTCCAACAGAACAATGTAGAGAGACAGAGCAGGCCTGACACAGCCAGTGCATTCAATAGGTTTCAGCAGAAATAATGCATTCTCTGCTTTGCCTCTGRGTAGGCAGCAGCTCCACRGGGACAAGGGGACAGCTCCAGGGAGCTCAGACTGGAGGCAGCCTAAATTTGATTCTCCTCCTTCAGACTTCCTGGTCRTGGCATTTTGCATATGTTTGTGATACTCAAACAAGGCTATGTGCTGATGGCAAAGTTCTACTGCTTAGGGATATTTATGACATTTTCTTTCTTTAGGGGAATATTACGAACTTTCTCAACATGAACCTCCAGGTTTTCCCGCAGGTCATGGCATTTCCAAGCTGCAGACTGTGACTACCTCCCTCTGCTTGTACCCAGGTGAGACTGCACAGCACTTACAGCAAGAGCTTACACTGAAAGCCATTGCTAAGCAAGTGTGAAGCCATTTAAACCGAGTCTGTTTAAACCCACAAATCAGCAGCCAAAGCAACTGCTGTTCTCATCTGGAGGTGAGCAGCAGGATTATAATCGCGGCACAAAGAATGTAAACGATTCAAAATGAGTGCCGAGGCAAAGGCAGCAGCATCCAACCCAGCAGGAGTAGGAAACCTAGGCACGGAACTGGTGACAGCTTCCTCCTTCAGTTTTTCAAGCCTGTTTTTAACAGTCAAGAACCATTTCCTTGTTTATCATAACTTATTACTGCTGTCGAGGACAGGTAGCCCCACACACAGGTAAAAGCAGTACCCATGCTTTTAAAATCCTGCACAGGATTTTTCTCCAGCTGATCACCAGCTTGTTAGCATGACAAAATCTATAGCACAGCGCTATGAACTTACCAACCCTTCTCTCTGAGCTCATTCTGCTTCCCTTTTCTTGTTCAGTGAAGTGGTCTCTGTTCTTGCTGGCGTTTCTGTCGTGTCGCCTCTGCATCTCCTCTCCAGAGGATCACCCCCAGTTGGACTTTTCTCCCCTGACTGCTTTTTACTGGGTTAGAAATGAGTCTCTACAGGCTCAGCCCGTCCTCACAGATCAACAAGCTGTGAAAGGATCTGGCTTCCTGTTTCATTTCCGGTAAAATTTTCAAAGTCACACAGGCTGTCTATGCTTCTCCATATCCAAGCCACAAGAAAAAAAAAATTGAGCATAACTCAGCTATTTGTAAAGGTCACACTGCTACCTCCTTCTGCATCTCCCAAATTCTTGGAGGGATGGAGATTGAAGGGTGCTTTTCAAACTGTGGTGTAGCACCTCTACATGGTCTCTACCTTAGTGTTTGTCCAGAGAGAGTCACAGCCTCTCCTTTTCAGCTCCAATGTCCTTGGATTGCCAGGTTCTTAACAGTACTCACCATGGAATCAGCGTGCCCTCTGTAGGAACAGTCTGACCGTGAAGAGATAACAGGTGGTCCACACAAACATCCCTTCCCTATTAAACTCTGGACCATGCTATGTAAAAACAAAGTTTATGCAGATATGGTTAAACCATCATATAATATGGGATTTTTAATTGGAGTAAGCAAAAGGTCCTTTGAGAGAGTCTTTCCCTTTCCCTCCTCACTCACTGTTTTAAATTAAATGAGACAACTGTTTTCTTTCAGTCTAAGACTGTTAATTCCTTATTATTTGTGCTGTTGGAAGATARTATCACAATACCACATCTTGCAAGTTCACTAAATCTAGTCTTCCACTCTGAAAATACCCACAAGTTCTTGTTTCAGATGGAGAAGCAGACACTTGCCCTTGACTCCCGGAGATTCCTACTCTGTTAACTGTTGCTTCACATTTCAAATGCATTAAAAAAAAAAAAAAGTACAATTACTGACTCACATTTTCACTTTCACTAGAATGCCAGTTTCCCATTCCACCACTTTTCTTACCGTATTTTTGTTAATTTAGTTCTAAAATGCTATTTTTCCATTATCACCCTTGGATCAGGAGCATTTATTAAAAAAGATAAAATTTGAAGGGCAGTGTCAAGGATGTAACTGTTACCTGTATTTCATTATTCTTTTTGTTTGTTGGCACCTCAGGAGCTGCAGGTGAAATCTGCTCTTCCTGCACCAATSCAAGGTTTGGGCCTCATGACTGCAAGCCTGCCAACACTTCTCATTTCACTATTTACTGTGGAGGAAGGAAGAGAGGAACAACAAAGAGCTTCCTTTCTTAAAGTGTTCACTTGCTGTCTTTGAATGTTTTCATGCTATTCAGGCTCCATGCCAGTGAGCATCCAAAGGCAGCAAGAGAACTTTGAAAGATGGTGTTTAAATGGATAAATATATATATACACACACATACATGCATTTATATGTATATAGGCAAATTTTTTTGTCTATGTTCTGTTCCCATTAGCAGAACAAGAGAATTCTGAGAGGAGAAAAATTGTGGACTGGCTAYAGGACCAGTGCACCTCCAAGGGGAGATTTGGAAAGAAAATTAGTAGGAGAGAAGAGAGAAACACTGCATAGGCCCTCTTTTACCTTCCTTGCTCAGCACTAGCTCTTTGATATTTTTGCTTTGGTTTTGGTTTGGTTTTGTTTTTTTGTTGTTTTTTTTTTAAGACCAAAAAAAGCAAGGTGATTAGTTTAAATTATTCTAAATTATTTTAAATTAAAAATTCMTTTTCTGCATTGAATTCACCTTAAATTCCTCTGTTGTACTTCTGAATTGATTTTGGTTGGGTAGTTTGGTTTGCTCAGGCCATAAACTGTTCTGGATATKTAGCATTTCCTATTCTTCCTCTCTYCTTGCAGTTCCACTTTCTTTAACACATATACCACAATTCCTATCCAAGCAAGCTGGTTCACCTGGGTAACTCTCTAATATCTCTTCAGGCATTATCCAAGAAGAGAAGCATGAATTACCTCCCTTTCCTGCTGTGCTGGGCCATAAATATTTGCCCAAGATCTGCATTTCTTCCATACCTCAGTGAGCATCTTTAGGGCATGGTGAAAAYGCTGGGACATCTGAACCCTCTGTGTGGCAGGAATCTAGGAACTTGAAGGAGCTTTGGAAATTTATGCTGTCTTTGCTCCAACAGGATTAGGTGACAGGCAAAAAAATGCTCCAGAAGGGAGAAGGGGACAAACCAGGACCTTCTACACCCTTCCTTGCAGGAAAGCCCCAGGTGAGCTTTGSAGCTGGATGGAGTTACAAGAAATACAGGATGAATTCCCCATATACACCATACACCTTTTTTCTTAAAGTAGAAACAGCTAAGAGGTCATGCAAGGTTATGGGGAAAAGAGAAAGACAGAGTGGAGATGATGAGTTTGGGATGCTGGAGGCACCTGGGCTGACAGAATCCACAAAGAATAGCTGTGTTTCAGTAAAYAGCTGTGTTTGTTTGCATGCCTGCCTATTTGCACTCTTTATCACATCCACAGGCTGACAGGGAAATTCCCTTTGTCCRCCCCCAGGCTCCTGCAGTGGGTGTTATCAGACCTCTCCCTCGTTTCTGAGATGCAGCAAATGAGCTCTGCCCTTGTCCTCACCACAGCCCCAGGGGTTCTTTCCCTCCTCACCACAGACAGGGGAGCCCTTGGCCTCCAGCAGCAGCTGGGAAACCCAAACATGACGTGGCACAGCATCACCCAGCTCTCTGAAAGCTGCAAACACAGAATGGCCACTCAAGTTTGTCCTGGAGCTGCAGGCACTTTCATCCCCAACTTCTCACTCTCCTCCTGCTTCCTCTCTTTCTGCAGAAGCAGACTRAGGCTACAGGGACAAATATCCCCAAACTCCACTGGCATGTAGTGACTTTTGTTCTGCAGTGACAGGTTGTTCTACCATCTCATCTGCCACCTGGAAGAAAAATCACCCTTTTCAGAACAATTATCCTCATTGCTGACAACTTTCTGCTGCASCTGGGTAGGAGGGGACAGGAGAGGTGCTGTCCCAGGCAGGTGCTCAGTTGGGTACATGGTGGTTCAACAGATGCCCTTTTCTTTCTCTAGACTATTTAGGGCAACAGCATCAATACAATCTACTTTCTGGATTCTGGAAACATGAAATGCACTGTGAGTGCAGAATTGCCTTCTAGTGCCTGGGTTTGGGCACAGAAAATCAACTTCCTGGAGAAGAGGAACCTGGTCTCTGATGGACCTTGCTTTTTAACAATTCTTTTWAAAGCATCTGCTTCATACTTGGAATAAGAGTCCCTATTATGACTTACCACTTATTTTTATTTAGAAATCAACATGCAAAGGCTCAGCTATTTCTCCTTCATGCTGAAAAATATTACTGCCACAAGAAACAAGATACAGCCTATTCATAGGCTTTTTTTTTTTTTTTTGGTGCGTCAAGTGTCAATCCCTGGCTTTGCAACAGTGACTAAATATTTACGTTTCACTGCCAAAAGTGCATAGTTGCAAACCAAAGCTAGCATTTTAAGACTCGTGTGCTATGAGTGACTAAAGATGTGAAGATCAGAGCAGCACCTTCCCTGGGGTTCTCTTCTGAAGCAGGAGGAGCAGCTTCTGCCACCCCCGAGGAACCACACCCGTCACCAGCCATGGCTGTTCTGTGCTGGGACAGCAAAATGGGGTCACCGAGGGGAAGAAAGGAGCTCATTCTTCTCCAAGGAAGGAGTCACTCCAACCCAAAACATCAAATGCAGTGAAAAGAACAAACTTCCTTCAGAGGGAGACTTGGTAACAAGCAGGAAAATAGAACACATGTAAAAACCATGTAAAAACTGAGGGAAAGCAGTAGCYTGTGCACATAAGAACAATGGAAAACTCGTGGAGAGACAAGGACTGGAGCATGCACATGCCCCCTTTCATAATGCAGCTTATTGATCTAAATGTCTTTTAGATGACAGAAACAGCRACAGAAGATGTTCCTTTCTGAAATACACTTTGTGCAGCTGGCTGCTTATTCACAATTGCAAAGATAAACATCCTGGTTCTATTTGCCATTTTCTTCCCCCCGTCTCCTAACGATCCCCATCCATGCTGACAGCTGAAATTAATATATGCACTTCTTCATTTATCAGAAAAAMAACCTGCTTCTGAACTAATATAGGCTATACTTAACCACCTATTTCACAACACAGAAGGAAAGATGACATCAATTTCTTTTAATTAGGATACGGGACAGGAATTCAGAGGATGAGCATCTATTTTTGCCATTGCCAGAACCTTACATATCTTCAGCAAATCCTTTTATCACCTGTTACAAAGGGGGAAGGGAACTAAAAAGCTTTCTCCATCTGTAAAGTGAAGCTTGATGATTAAAATTGAGAGCTGCTGAAAATACCATGGTGATGGAGACTCTTCAGCTGAATATCCAGCCCCCGCTGTGATAACAAGCAGCACTCTCATCTCCCTGTGCAGTCAGGGACAATAAAGACAGAATTCTCCTCGTAAGGGATGGMAGTACCTTCCTCACAAAGGATTCAATGATTTCTCTTTCTGTAWTTTTTTTATGGAACTTACCCCTTTTGACATTTTGCTATTTAGACAGYGAGTATTAGGATTTCTACTTTTCTGGCAAATAAATGACATGTATTTTCTTTAAAAATTCCCTGGGAATAAGAGAATGAAATTTCCTGCCTGTTCCCATATGGCTTCTTCTCAAATATATATGTACATGCAAATTTCCCTGGACCCACTTTCCACCACAGAAATTTTGTCTTGGTGAAGTTTGGCTTTAGATGTTTATAGGATTTCCAGAGGAAATTCCCAAGGCCCTGCAGGAATTGCTCCCTCAGCTCTCAGCTTTTCAGGCGTGCAGAGATCCCAGATGCCACCCATGAGTTTGCACTAAGCAGACAGCACAGCATAGTTCAGGAGGTCTCATCCATCCCTGGCAGCCTCCAAATATGATAAATGCAGGTGAGAGGAGTCAGGAATTGGGGCTTCACTGCAGCTTCTTGCATCCATTTCACACAAAGGTGGGGGTTTAGAGCAGTACCAGAAGAACAAAGCAGAGTTCTTTCTCCTAAGGCTGGGAGAAAACTGTCTTGGATTCCGCCTCTATTTCCTCAAAATTATTTCTAGACTGAATAATG